CAAGCAAATTCAAAGGGGGGGGGGGAACACCCAGATTTGCTTAACATCCATGTTACTAACTTAACAACCTGCAGTGATTCGCTTAACAACCGTGGCAGGAAAGGTCGTAAAACCTTGGCTGGCTTTAGGAGAGGGCCGGACCAATTCATGGCCATCAGAGAATAACTATTAGCCTTGAAGGAGGCAGCTGGATGCCTCTGGAGACAATCGGCTGCAGGATGTGTGGGCTTCCTTGACACCTTGTTAGGTATGTGAGGGCAGGTTGCTGGAACTGGGTCGGCTGGGAGACCCCTCCAGCGGGGCGCTGCTTATATTCCTCTCTTGTTGCACGTTATTCAGCCCTTCCGAATAGGAGGAGGAGGAAGAGGGGCGAGGGGGAAAGAGAAGGGGCAAGGAGAAGGAGGGAAGAAGGGGAGAAGTGGAGGGGAGGAGGAGGAGGAGAAAGAAAAAGAAAGGAAAAAGAAAGAGGAGGGAAGAGGGAGGAGGGGAGGGGGAGGAAGGAGGAGGAGAAGGGGAAGAAGAGAAGGGAAGAAGGGGGAAGAGAGGAGAAGGAGAAAGGAAAAGAAAGGAAAGAGAAGGAGGAGGAAAGAGGGAGGAGGGGAGGAAGGAGGAGGAGAAGGGGAAGAAGAGAAGGGAAGGAGGGGGGGAAGAGAGGAGGAGAGGAGGAGGAGGAGGAGAAAGGAAAAGAAAGGAAAAAGAAGGAGGAGGAAAGAGGGAAGAGGGGAGGGGGAGGAAGGAGGAGAAGGGGAAGAAGAGAAGGGAAGGAGGGGGAGAAGAGAGGAGGAGAGGGAGAAAGGAAAAGAAAGAAAAAAGCAGGAGGAAAGAGGAAGGGGGAGAAAGGGAAGAAGAGAAGGGGGAGGGGAGAAGGAGAAGAAGAGGAAGAAGAAGAGAAGAAGAAAAGAAGAGAAGGAGAAAGAAAGAGCAGATGGAGGAGGAGGAGGGGAAGAGGAGGTGAAAGAAAAAGAGAAAGGAAAAAGGAAGAGGAGGAGGGGAAGAAGAGGAGAAGGAAAAAGAGGAAAAAGAGGAAAAAGAGGAAAAAGAGGAGGAGAAGGAGAAGAGAGAAAGAGGACAAAGCAGGAGGAAGGTGGGGAAGAGGAGGAAGGAGAAGGAATGGAAGAGGAGGAAGGAGAGGAAGGGAAAGGGGGAGAAGAAGAGAAGGAAGGAGGAGGAGAAGAGAAGGGAAGAAGGAGAAAGAAAGAGCAGATGGAGGAGAAGGGGAAGAGGAGGTGAAAGAAAAAGAGAAAGGGAAAAGCAAGAGAAGGAGGGGAAGAAGAGGAGAAGGAAAAAGAGAGGAGGAGAAGAGAGAAAGAGGACAAAGCAGGAGGAAGGTGGAGAAGAGGAGGAAGGAATGGAAGAGGAGGGAGGAGAGGAAGGGGAAGGGGGAGAAGAGGAGAAGGAATGGAAATTCTTCAAAGTTGTTTCCTAAGTCTTTTATTCGAAAGCTTTGAGAAGAATCCACCCTGCAGCCCTCCAAGCAGCAGAGATGCTGCGGTCTACAGGGAGTAAGCCATAGTGTAAACAGGTGGGTAGGTCCTCAAAGAAACCGTTTCGGGCAACACAGGCAAAGAGATTATGGGATTATTCAAATAAAAATCCATGGAGGGGTTGAAATTGGAACAGATTTGTAGAGATGGGGGGGAGGGGAGAAGAGAGAGAGAGAGAGAGAGACTGAGAAAGAGAGAGACAGAGAGAAGAGACAGAGACAGAGACAGAAAAAGAGAGAAGAGAGAGAGACAGGAGGGAGAAACAGAGAGAGAGAGAGAGAGAGAGAGAGAGAGAGACAAAGTCAGAGACAGACAGAGTTGGGAGACACACACATACAGAGAAGAAACAGAGAGAGAGAGAGAGAGAGAGAGAGAGAGAGAGAGAGACAAAGTCAGAGACAGACAGAGTTGGGAGACACACACATACAGAGAAGAAACAGAGAGAGAGAGAAAGAAAGAGAGAGACAGACAGAGAGACAGAGAAAGAGACAGAAACAGGAGAGAGAGAAAGACGAGAGAGAAGAGGCAGATAGAGACAGAAACAGACAGGAGAGAGAGAAAGACGAGAGAGAAGAGGCA